AAATGCTTGAAACATCTGCTTTATGTTTTTAGAGAATGGAAGAAATATTAAGACGCTGAGTAAAAGGAGTTAACTTTAAAAAGAGTTTTCCGTTTTAATTTTCACGTGCACCTCTAGTCCTTTAATTAGAATTTTGAGGTTTTATTTGACTTTTTAGTTTCACTTCAGAATGTAATGCTATTGTTCTTCAACCTGGTAGGGATTCTGTGACTCTCTTGCTTGTTGAAAAAAACATTCTGAAATTAGAAGTTTTCTTAGCCACTGTAATTAGCATTCTTTTTTTTAATAAATGATTCAGATGAGATTATTTCCCTAGATACTTAATTAGCATCTTGTTAAAATGGGTTAAGTAAGAACTGATCTGAGTGTAGCTTAAAAACACAGTTTTAGAGATTAGAGTTGTTGATAAATTTCTTGGAAATCCTGAATGAGAATTGAAAGCTCCTAAAATGAAGTGACCAGGTTACATGATATTGAAGACAGAAAATCCCATTCATAAATAAAAGTGGAATTAATCACTTATATATATTAATATGTATATGTGAATATATATATGAATCTTGGGGAAGCTAAGTAGCATAGTGGGTATAGTGTGGAGCCTGGAGTCAGTAAGATTGCTCTTCCTGAGTTTAAATCTGGCCTCAGACACTTACTAGCTGTGTGACCCTGGGCAAGTCACTTTACCCTGTTTGCCTCAGTTTCCTCATCTGTAACGGGAACTGGAGAAGAGAATGGCAAACCACTCCAGTATCTTTGCCAAGAAAACCCCAGATGGGATCATGAAGTCGAACAGGACTGAAAACGACTCGGTGACATATATGACATATATGAGTCTCCTAGGCTAGGATGAATAAAAAGCTGGCGTTTGTCAATAGGAGTCATGCTGTTCTGGCCTAGAACTCTCTCTGTACGTGGGAAACTCCCTTTGAAGATCCCTATGAGTTAATTGATCAGTAAGCATTTATTAAGTGCCCACCAGGTAGGTGCCATGTACTATACTAGGTGCTGGGATTCACACACAAAGAATGAAACAATCCCTACTTTCAAGAAGTTTATGTACAGGGCAGCTAGGTGACACAGTGGACAGAGCACTGGCCCTGGAATCAGGAGGACCTGAGTTCAAATTCGGCCTCAGACACATAACGCTTACTAGCTGTGTGACTCTGGTCAAGTCACTTAACCCCAATTGCCTCACCAACAAAAAAAAAAAAAAAAGGTTTGTGTATAAAGGATGAAGTACACTGAAGAACCTAGTCATACCTTCTCTTCTGAATATGTGTGTCTGTCTGCCCGTTTCTGTGTGACTCTGTTTCTGTCTAATCAAAAGACCCGAGTTATGCTCCTGGCTCCTCTCCCTGCTAGCCCGTTGACCTTGGCCTTAACTTTTCTGAGACAAGGTCTCACCTATAAAATCTTTGCTTATCTTGCAGATGAACATCATAAAAGCATAGATTTAAAGCTGGTAAGGACCTTAGAAGGTTATAGACTTCTCATTTTAGAAATGAAGAAACTGAGCCTTGAGACGTTCCCTAGTGTGTCACAAAGCATGATATTAATAGGATTTGAATCCAGATTTTCCTGGCTTCAAAGTACAGCTTTCTATCTCCTGCCTGTTAAGTGAGAAATGTACCAGAAAGTATTTTATAAATTGTGATATGGATATGAGAGATTATTGTTATCATTAGTATTAATATTACTAATTATTTTCCCAAGTTGCAAATAACTGAAATATGAACTAACCAACTATAATACAGACACCTTGTTTTAAGAGTAAATTATACTCTGAGGGATATGGATTTAAGAGGAAAAGGAAATGTTGAATCCCTTATTTTTGTAGTCCTTTTGAGAGAAAAGAAATGTAGAAAAAAGAAATCTCCAACAGGTTAATTTATTAAATATAAGTTAAGAATGACCTAGTCTTCATAGTGATGTACTAACAGAGCATAGGGTCTGTCAGGTTCTCAACAACTGAAAAAGACCAAGTATAAATCCAGAACACGTCTTTCTCATTTGAGAACCAGTTTAGTTGGATTCGGAAAGGCTTGTAACCCAGTTGGCTTGTAAGTGTCTTAACTTGTGAGGACAGTCTACTAAAATGTATAGGGGTCACAATCTGTGTTGGTGAGAGGGGTACCCATTCTGGTGAAATCCCAGAGCCCTGGAGCTGAAGCAAGTTGTGAAATACTCCTGCTGTTTATAAGTGACCACTGGACACTAGGTGTGTTGAGAACAGCCAGAGGGTAAGATTTCTGATTCTCCCGCAGCTTACATTGAAAGCTTTTCATGGAAGTCTGAACTGTTGGAATATCTGTCAGATATATAAGGATGTCAACTAATTGAACTATATTTCTGTTTTGACATCTTGTTAAATAAAGGTGATTGTTCTATACTATTTTTTTAATCTTTGATTTCAATGTGTATGACTTTTTACTCTTCACATGTTTCCATAACAAAGTTTAAAATAGATCTGTTACAGGAGCAAAAGTGATTAATTAATACTACCCCACATGCTTATAGGCTCTCGTCTTTTACAAGGAGCTAAAAGCTTTTTTTTTCACCAGTTCTATCATTTGAGGGTGACTTCTTTGAGGGATTATGCAGAAATAATCCAGTCAGCTGCATACCCTGTTACTTCTTGTTTCAGTTCATCAGATGAAAACTGATGTCTGCCTAGTTCCTGCCATCTTTGTATCTCCAGGCATGCTAATATGTCATCCTCATTCAGAATAAATCCTGGAAATGAGCAAGCTGTAGAGATGTGAAATTCGAAAGTGAAAGAGTCACTAATTATCACTGCTGAGGCACCCCGATACACATTCTAAAGGCAGGTTTCCCAATTCCCGATAACAGATTCCTTTCTTCCTTCGTGTTCAGAGGATCTCAAAACACTTTTGAAATAAGCACTATCCCCATGTTTCTGAAGGGAAGAACTAAAGCCCCCACAAAGTAATGTAGTCATTCTGTTAACCAGTACCACAAGTGAACCCAGTGTTTTTGTATTTCAGTGCCTTTGGTCTATCCCTGACCCAAACAGAATGCAGTTCTCCCAAACTGATGCCTTGTTCTTGGGTCCAAACAGACCGTGTACTGCTTTTACCACTCCTGATCGTGTTTCGTATTTGACAGGCGAGTCTCGTGTGAGGGCTTTTGCTGTTTAATAATTCATTTCATTCTTTAGATCTTTATCCCTCACTGGAGGATTGGAGATGAAGGGAAGGTCTGAGAAATTCAGCTAAACTTAAAATATTTCCAAAACTTTGTCAATGAGAACTCTACTTACTTTGGACTCATGCCTATCTTTTACATATTTGTGTATGGAAAAAGAAATGTGGATTGTGGATTGGAAAGAGCAGTGAACGGGGAACTGTTGGGCTGAGTACTACTCCCAGCTCGGCTGTTAGCTCTGACTGTGTGTGACCTTGGTCAGATCACTTTGTTTCTCTTCATAAAACAAGGGGGTTGGATGATATGATCCCCAAAAGTCTCTAGCTTAAACATTCTTAAATTCTTTGAAAGCTCCCAGCCCCCTGCATGGCAGTGTACCAGATGGGTAGAAAAAGACCATCATTCAAATCTCAGCTCCGACACTACCTGTGTGGCCTTGGGCAAATCATTTAACCTTTCTAAGCCTCAGTTTCCTCATCTGTTGAGGGGGAACAATAAGACTTATGCCATAACCTACAAGACAACGGTGTTATTGCTCTTAGTAATCTACTGTGTATTCAATAAGACTTATGAATTGAATTTCTAAGCTCCAAATTCCCTACTTGGAGAATGCTAGAGAATCACACTGGGTCATATCTAGGGTCCATCCTGCCCAAAATTCTGTCTCCTCTTGAGTGGTAAATAAAGATAGTAGGCCTGCCTTTTATGAAGCTGGCTTAAGAGATAAGGGCTGTACCCCCAAACTTCTCTAGGTTGCCTTAATAGATCTCTCCTTCTTGAAGCAATTTGTATTCAGCCTTTGCCACCTCTTTGAGTAATGAGTTCCATATGTTTATTACCCGCTGTTTAAGTAGTATTTCCTTTTGTTTGTTCTAAAACTACCTCTCTTAAATCTGCAAGGGGTAGATGTTCCCTAGCTCTAATATTCTGGGATGTGGTGAACAAGTCTGGGCTTTACCCTATCAATACCCTTCACGATTTTATAGGCTTTGATCATATTTCCTGACCCCCTTCCTCCTACCTTTGCCTTTCTAGACTAAAAGAAACTAATTTTTTTTTGTCTGCCCTCACATAAAAATCTTTACTCCCTTGGTCTTTTTCATTACCCTTCAGCTCCACGATGAGAGGTATTCACAACAACTACACTTGCTTGGGACAACAGGGGCTGCAGGAAAATAGTTCTCAGGAGTGCCTCATAAGGAGAGTTATGGGGTTTACAGGCAAGGATGGAGGAGGGGGGTGTGAAACTGAACAGGTACATTGAGGCAAATGATGCTGCTTACTCCCCAAAAAGTGAGATCCCTTCTGTGATTAAAATGAGGTCATGAGTCTCCATTTGAATTTGCATTGCAAACATCACAGTGATACTTCACCATAAACACATACAGCTGCCTGCCAAACAGCTTCCTCTCTTTCTCCAACTAGAAGATAGGGAATTATCTAACCCTTACCTCTCCGCCCAAATGCATTAGCACTTAAAAGCAACACAATTCTAATCCTTTATCCATTTTGCTGTGAATGGCGCATCTGTAATACTTATTCTGAAGAGTTTACTCTTTGGGTTCTGAGTTGCATGTAAACCTAGCCTATCTATTTCTAATAAAGAAATCTATTTCTGTTTCAGCCATATGTATGAGCTGCTTCTTTGGGTACAGAGAATATTCATTCAACACATTAATGGCTTCAGGCACCAAATTAACTATTTCTCTTCCTGTGCTGAAACTGATCATATTCTTTCTGCATGGGCTTTTAAAAAAAAGAAAACAAAACATCCTGCTGTTCTTGTTCCAAATGTCATTTATCTGCTATACACCATTGTGCTTGTTACTTTGCAGGCTATTGGATGCACTCTGAACTGTAGTTGTCAAGGTTTCAAACCAGGAAAAATACATCACCGGCAGTGTGAACAGTGCAGACATGGATGGGTGGCACATGGTAAAAGAAAAATTTTTTTACAACAACAACTATTTGTATAACTTTTTGCTTATGATATATAGGCAACTCTGTTATTCAGTAGCTAGTTATCTAGTTTGGGGGATTGATTTCTGTCCCTTGTTTATTCCTCTCCCTTCCTGTGTGTGGCAGTTTGACTGCTCGTGAACTTCAGTAGCTCAGTGAGGAAAAGAAGGGAGATAAGAATCTGAGACCTGTCCATTTAACTTCTTATACAATAGTTCCTGTTTAAAAAAAGAAAAAAGGTTTTTTGGGGAATGAACAGGAAGCCATTGGGGTAATCAAAATTGTAAAACTATTAGTAGTTTTTGTTCTTTTATTAGTAGTTTTGCCTCTAAACTGAGATTACCTCATTAAAATACTTCTTTTTTATGTCTGGTTTTCAGCACTAAGCAAATTGAGGATCCCAAACGTGTACCCAACTAGCCAAGTGGAGATAGTCCAGTCCAATGTGGTTTTTGATATCAGCAGTCTCATGCTCTACGGGACCCAAGCTATTCCCATTCGCCTTAAAATTCTTTTAGATCGGCTTTTCAGTGTACTGAAACAAGAGGAGGTAATCCAGATTCTTCATGCCTTGGACTGGACTCTTCAGGATTATATTCGTGGATATGTGCTCCAGGTACTGTAGAATTAATAACCTAGACTAAGAAATGTTGGGGGAAATGCATCTCATGGAATGTCACTTGTGCTTGGTTTCAGTGTACTAACAAGTTTACCTTAATCTTGTTAGTGATCTTAAATATTTAGATAGAATTTTATCTGGGTGTGGCCTACATTTACCAGACTAACAAATCTCCTCAAACTAACCTGTATGGACATTTAAAAAAAAAAAAAGTGCCCACACAGACTAGGTTCTGCAACCGGATGGAAATGACCTTTTATGTAAAGTAATATTATGATCTTACATTATGACATAGATCAATATTTAATGATCTTGATAATCTTGCTTTTTAGTGTTCAGATTAAAAATATGGAATCAATTACCTTGAACCTCTATCACATGAAAAATTTATGTTGTTACATTCCTTATCATCTTAGAAACTCTTACATGCACTGTGAAAAATCTCAGTAGGCCATCAAATACATGTTCTGTGATAAAATATTTATTATAGTTATTGGGAAAAGTTAGGCATAGCTAGAGTTTGAAAGAACTCCAACACTCTAGTGTAATTACAGCTGTGCTTTGTGAACACTGGCAGCAGATCAATACAGGTTCATTTGTTTTCTGATGTTAGTTGCTTGGAAGATTATTAAGCTTTCAGTGAAATAATACTCGAGTTATATATCTAGGCTGATTGCTCTATCTTTTCTTCTCAGTCTTAGATGCTAGTATTGTTCAGATTATACATATTTTAATTTTGGTGATGAAATTATACAAGAGTTTATAATAAGTAATTATGCTTTGGGTCATGACAACTGAGTAGTTTATCACTGGGTTGGAACAAAGAGGGAAACAAGGATACTTGAGTTATCTTGGGTTAGACTTGGGCATTACCATTAAATAGCTATGGTGAAACAAGGGAATAATTTCTTCATAAAAAGAACAGTCAATTGATTATTTTTTTTTCGACTTCATCTTGTATTCAGGATGCATCAGGAAAGGTTTTGGATCACTGGAGTATCATGACCAGTGAAGAAGAATTAGCCACTCTGCAACAGTTTCTTCGCTTTGGAGAGACCAAGTCCATTGTAGAGCTCATGGCAATTCAGGAGAAAGAAGGACAGTCCATTATCATACCATCTACAACAACTAATTTGGATATTAGGGCCTTTATAGAAAGTTGCAACCAGAGAAGTCCTAGCCTTTCTGTTCCAGTGGACAAGGTGAACCCTGGCAACCTTCATCATTTTGAAAACCTCATCAATAACATGGCTTTTATGCTGCCTTTTCAGTTCTTCAGCCCAGTGCCTCCCCCACTGATAGGTTCACCACCAGAGAGACATGTGATTGAGCAAGGTCAAGACAGAAGTAATGACGCTAAACACAATGTCCAGATACCCTTTTCTGAAAATGGCTTCTTAACTCCTACTTCTGCTTCATTTCAAGTCGAAAGTGAACAGTGTATAAATTGTCCAGATGTTCTACCCAAAAGTGAAGATGATGCCCATTTCAGTGATTCTGGTTCACACCACACAGTAGCCAAGCTGGAAATGACCCGGTTGTCCCCAGAGCCCAAAGGGAAAACTACTGAAAGAAATGGTATCGGGCCAAAGAAAGGCAGGGTTTTCTGCACTGCATGTGAAAAGACTTTCTATGACAAAGGGACCTTGAAAATCCACTATAATGCTGTCCACCTGAAGATCAAGCACAAATGCACAATTGAAGGATGCAATATGGTATTCAGCTCCCTAAGGAGCCGGAACCGACACAGTGCAAATCCAAACCCACGGCTTCATATGCCGATGAACAGGAACAACCGAGATAAAGATCTGAGGAACAGTTTGAACATGACCATCCCTGAAGAGAGCAAAAGAACAGGCTTTCCTGTGACATCACCAGACAGCAGACCCATCCCCAGTTATATCGGGCCATGCACTGACTCCAAGGTACAGTCTGCCTTTCCCAGTATTGGGCAAAATGGTGTGCTTTTTCCCAACTTAAAGACAGTTCAGCCAGTTCTTCCTTTCTACCGCAATCCAGTCACACCAGCTGAGCTTGCTAACACCCCGGGAACGCTCCCCTCTCTGCCTCTGGTGTCCTCCTCCATACCTGAACAGCTGGCTTCCAATGAATTGCCATTTGATGCTCTTCCTAAGAAAAAATCTCGGAAATCAAGCATGCCTATCAAAATAGAGAAGGAAGCAGTGGAAATTGCCAATGAAAACAGTGATGCCCTCAGTTCAGATGAAGAGATGCCGTTGCAGGTTGTCAGTGATGGAGAGCTAGAGACGTGTGAGCTCAGGGTGGAAAAAGAGGTCACTGACCGAGTGGAGCAGCACCCACACTCAGCCAACTTATGGAAATCTCTTTCTGAGGGAGGGAGGCCTCCCAAAGCAGAATCGGTGATTGAGACCAAACACTTAAAAAAAGTATCCGAGCAGGATTTGAACAACTCGGAGGAAGAGACTGAACAAAACCCAGTGTTAGCCATCGTGCCCAGGGAAGCTGCGTTTAGCGATCCCAAACAACACACCAGTGTCTTAAAACCAGTGATGGAGCCTCTGCCAATGTATGCAAAAGAACAGTCCAAACACCAGCTTCCCAGTTCCGACTGTGTGCAGTTGCAGCACCACTTACTGACTGGGGGATTTGTAAATGCATTGTCCAACAGGGGAATGGCTCTTCCTTGTTTGGAGGATGCTAGAGAGAGAGATCAGGTCACTCAGCACGCGCTAGGAAGACAAAAGGAAGAAACTCGTTTTCATTGTGATATCTGTAAGAAGACCTTTAAAAACACTTACAGTGTGAAAATTCATTTCAAAAACGTGCATGCCAAAGAAATGCATATCTGTACAATTGAGGGCTGCAGTGCAACCTTCCCTTCCCGCAGAAGCCGAGACAGGTAAGAAATTGGTAAAAGGTTTCATTTATTGCAGTCATGATAGCAACTCATTTGAAATGTAACTACTTGAGGAAAGAGACTGGGAAACTTCTTTTCTTTCTTTTTTTTTTTTCATTTTTAAAAATTTATTTAGTATTTTATTTTCCCCCAGTTACATGTAAAAACAATTTTTAACATTAATTTTTAAAACTTTGAGGTCCAAATTCTCTCCCTTCCTCTCTCCTCACCCACCCTCATTGAGAAGGCAAGCAATTCGATATAGGTTATACATGTGTAGTCATGCAAAACATTTCCATAATTGTCATGTTGTGAAAGAAAACATAGACCAAGGGGGGTAAAAAACCTCAAGAAAAATAAAGAAAGTAAAAATAGTATGCTTCAATCTGTATTCAGACACCATCAGTTCTTTCTCTGGGGGTGGAGAGCATTTTTCATCATTAAGTCCTTCAGAGTTGTCTTAGATGGTTATATTGCTGAGAATAGCTAAGTCATTCACAGCTGATCATCTTACAATATTGCTGTTACTTTGTACTCAGTACATTTCACTTTGCATCAGCCCATGCAAGTCTTTGCAGGTTTTTCTGAGAGCATCCTGCTCATCATTTCTTATAGTACAATAGTATTCCGTTATAATCACATAGCACAGCTTGTTCAGCCATTCCCCAATTGATGGGCATCCCCTCTGTTTCCAGTTCTTTGCTACGAGAAATGAGCTGCCATGAATATTTTTGTACATATAGGTCCTTTTCCTTTTTGTTTTTTGTTTTTTTATCTCTTTTGGGATACAGACCTAGTAGTGGTATTGCGGGATCAAAGGGTATACGTGGTTTTGTATAGGGAGCTTATTTTCTATGGGTTATTTGAATAGACTTTATAAAATATAATTACTGAATCACTTCAGCAAACATTTCATAAACATTTGCTTTATGCAAAGGGTCCGCCACTGCACTGAGGTGGAGTGGGGAGGGGATACAATGTACAACAGAAGAGAAGAGTTCCTAGACCTTTCCCATAAGAAACTTACCCTCTGGTGTCACATGTGAACCAATAAACAATGTACAGAATAAAATGTGAAAATACACTATAAAGGTGTCTTGTGAAACTTTAAAAGGGAGAGATTACTTGCAGCCAGGGGAGGAGAATCAAGGAAGAGCTGGTGCCATGAGTGCCATTTGAGCTGAGCCTTGAAGGAAAGGATTTTTCATTTTTAGAAACTTTTATTTTCCTCTACCTGATCAGATATTTTTAAAGCAAAAATAGTTTCAATTGATAAAGACTAGAATATGAGGATTCTATTAAGTAAATGTTGAGGGTTGATTTTTTTTAAATTTATGGCTTATGGTTAGATAAATTGAAAGAAGGAAAACCTATAGATGACTGTTTTGTTTTTTGTTTTTGTTTCTGATACACAGAGGCTATAGTATAATATACTGTTGTATGTAGTAAAATATCATCTCTTAAGGTCTCATCTCATTCTGACATCCTGTGACTCTGAGTTTGAATGTAACTAGCCTTTTTACTAAGCAACATATAAATAGACCAAATCCATCCAATCCAAGAGAATCATGTGTCCTGAGTTATAATCTTGTTCCTTTTGTCTTCAATAAAGTTGAGTTACTTGACAAGTGTTCAAATCCTATTCCTGTCACAGTGACTCCGAAACATTGTTCCCAAGAGAACTCAGAGAAGATCAGAAGTTTTATGAAATAGGTGAAAAATGATAAATACATTTCTTCCTTCTGATCAATATGCCTTGATGTAACCTATCCATGAATTCAACAAACATTTACTGAGTATCTCTAAATACTATAGGAAATACAAAATTGAAATTTGTTCTGTTTGTCTTTGACACTGGCCCCTGCCCTCGAGTAGATTATAGTCTAGTCAGAGATAGAGGTGTGTTTAGATAACCCTAAAGCAGGACCTGGTATAGTAAGTGCCACAAGAGAAGTGCAAATGCTGAGAGTTACGGATGTTGAAAGAAAAAAGAGATCACATCTGACTGGGAGGATTAGGGAAGGCTGAATGAAGAAATGGGACATTTGATCAGTGGTTCAAAGAATGGGTAGTAATTTTATAAAGAAGGGCATTCCAGATAGAAAGATTAGCACGGGGGGAGAAATGGCAAGAACATGAGGATGTTGGGCTAGTTTAACTTGAAGCTACGGGGTATGTGAAGTAATGAAAGGCAAGGTTGGAAAGGTTGGGGCCAGAATCTGGCAGGCCTTGAGTATCCATTCAATAATACACGGTTTGTCAGTTTCCTTGTCTGTAAAGTGAGAATTATTTATTTCCAGATACTTCTTTTAACTTGAGTCCAAATTGAATTTCAGAAAGCTTTCTAGAGGGAGCAATTAAGAAGGAAAAATGTTAAAGTCCTAAAGACATTTCATAAAGAAACTCTTGAATGGAGTACATAAGAATATATTATTACTAATAAAACACATGCTTTATTCAAGTATGTGTGATTTCATAAGCATGACTGCCCCACCATACCCCAATACACTGTATCAATGAGTTTCTATAGCTGAAAAAATTTGACAGAATCTCAGATTGGAAATGGACCTTGGAGACCCTCTAGGCCGGTCCACATCAAAACAGGCCTTCCTTCTATGACCAAACCCAACTCAAATGTTGAGTTAACCGCTCCTTGCCAACACAGCCCCTCTATTTATAGATAGTAGGAGCAAATGTGTTCTCATGAATGAGTGCGGTGGTCCTAGAGCAAAGAAAATACACAGAGAAGGTAAAGAGAAAATGGAGAGGGTTCATCGTTCAAAAAAGATCTTTTCAGGGTCTATTCATATGTAATGTTTGGTGGTGTGAGAGCCACAAAGAGCAGTAAGAGATAGTGTTGATGAGATTAAAATCCATATTACATATCGTTTTTATTATTCTGTATAATATCTGTTAAATTAATTAATTACTTCATTCAAAAAGCATTAATTTTTTAAAAATTTCATGTGTTTGATGTGTTCATGCTTTGGCCTTATTATCAAAATAAGCAGGCCCCCATTTGCAGGCAGGATGTATTCTGAAAGTTCTTTCATAATACAGTTATAACCTAGCAGCAGTTAGGTTGCACGGTGTATAGGGCGCTAGACGTGGAGTCGGGAAGATCTGAATTTGAATCCTGCCTCAGATACCTCCTAGCTATGTGAACTTGGGCAAATCACACAGATACGACCCAGGGCAAATTACCGAGGAGGAAACTGAGACTGAGAGAGGTTTTTAAATCTTTCTCAGCCTCAGTTTTCTGTTCTGTAAAATGGAGATAATAAACAGCACCTCCCTCACGGGGTTGTTGAGAGGATCAAATGAGTTAAAATTTGTAAAGCACTTTACTAACTAACTTTAGAGCACGATATAAATGCTAACTGCTGTTAATCATTGTGAAGTGTGTTGCCGTAGGAAGACCACTGATCTGGAGTCAGAGGACCTGGGTTAATATCCCAAAGTTGTCACATACTCGTCTTGGGCAAGTCAAGTCTCATCTATAAAATGAGGCAGCTGGACAAAGTCCATCTGACTCTAAATCATTGATCGCATGAACTTGGGATCCATTATTCCATAGAAGTGCTATTTTTAATGGTGGTTAGATCCTAAGGTTAGTCCCACAAAACTTGTAACTTCTCTTGATGATAACAACAATGGCCATTTTTATAATGCTGTAAGGTTTGTAGCAGGCTTCCCTTATGTATGTCATCTCATCTAATCCTCCCAACTCTTGGGAGGTGACTGCTCCAGCTACACTTATGCTTCTTTTTACAAGAAGAAACCAGCATTGAAAAAGGAGAAGCGGTCCCATACTCGCCCAGCTAGAAAGTGTCTGGAGTAGAATTAGAACTCAGCTCTTCCTGACTGCTCCAGGTCCAATGTTTTCTTCAACTACTACATAGTTACAATCAGCCATACTCTGGGTTAAATATACTTCTGTCACCTAGCTTAGTAACCTAATGACCATATGTAGCATTATTTCTGTGGGAAAATGAAATCCACAGGGATTGGAAGAGGGAATGCAGTGACACCCCACTCACCTGTCACCTTCAGCCCAGGAAAAAACAATTTAACGACAAAAAGAGTAATGATGCGCGTCAATGGAGCCCATTTAGATTTTCCATATACCTGGTCTCTGTTGAGCCTCACAGCCCTGTGAAGTCCCTCCTATTTTTAACCCTATTATCCTTATAATGAATCTGAGACTGTTAAAATGATAAAATTGTTTGCCCCAAGGTCAACACAGGTAGTATATGGGATAGGATTTGAACCCAGGTCTTCCTCACTCTCCCTCCAGTGTTCTTCATATATAAAATGAAGTTGTTACATTAGATTATCAAAAGTTTTCCCCATCTTTAAAGCTTGGAATCCTTCCTACTTTACTTCTGCGGTTTCAGGAGTGTCTGTGCTTGGGCCACAAGCTCTGGAGTCAAGGGACCTGGGTTCAGAGCCCACCTGGGTGACCTTGGGCAAAGCCGCTTCGTGTCTCTGATCCTGAGTTCCTCATCTATAAAATGAGGGAGATGTCTTTCCAGCTGTAGCTCTAGGATCCTAAAAGGGAGCAGGCATTTCTCTTCCAGCCTACCGCTGGTTTTCTCCCTATTTCACTCTCTATTTCAGTTACAATGGCCCCCGGGAACAAAATAAACATGATGGCTAAGGGAATATTTTTGGGTCACTGGGGAAAGGTCAGCATAGATATAGCATTAGTATGTATAAGATATTTAGAAGTCAAGGGGCAAAAAAGGAAACATCTTTGGGTTGCTGGGAAAAGCCAGTGTAGGCATAGCATTAATACTTACAAGATGTTCAGAAGCCAAATGGTCCTACCTTGAGCACCTGTATTTAAATTCTCTAGGTGGGTGCTTTTTAGGTGGTGGTTGTTTACTTGATATCTTGCTGAGCAGCTTTGTATGCCGTCTCATCTGCGTGTAAGACCACTGTCCGTTTTTGCAATGAAATATGCTTCTTCTTTCAACTTAGAAATTTGGTGGAAAAATTTAGCACAATTGTAATTGAAGTACTTGAAGAATGAATGAGTAATTTTAATTTTCTGGTGTGGTCATAGAAAGAAACAACATTTAGAGGTAAGTACAATAGAGAAATTGAACTTTTTAGAACTCTGTAGCATTGATTTTATTTCTGGTGAAATCTGATGCAATGACACCTGCAGTTTGGTAAGCTTCAAAGTACCTTGTAGGTTTCTGTCACATGGAATGTTTTTTTTTGCTTCTTGGTGAAGCATTCAGGGTTAAGTGACTCACCCAGGGTCACGCAGCTAATAAATATCAAGTGTCTGAGGCTAGATTTGAACTCGGGTCCTCCTGACTCCAAAGCCAGAACTCTATCCCCAGCGCCACCTAGCTGCCCCTATCACATGGAATCTTAAAGCTGGAAGGGGATCTTATAGTCTACTCATGTTAGATGAGGAGCCCAGAGCCCCAGAAAAAGAATAGTGAGTCAGTTAACAAGCCCTAGGCATTTATCACGTGCCTGTCAGTACAATCTAATCTAGTCTGCCAAGGGCTGGTGTTCTTCTTCCCTGAGAATTTCTTCACCCATAGCCTATGGGTTTTCCCCTAAATTGTGACTTCATAATGATATTGATGATTTAGGGTTTTAAAAGCCCACAGTTTGTTGATTGCTAATCTTCTTTTTGTTATTTTAGACACAGTTCAAACCTAAGTCTTCATCAGAAAGTTATCACCAAAGATACCCTGGAAAGCAATGAAAACCCTTTGGGTGCAACTTACCTTTTGAAAGATATGGCTAAGGAGGTTTATCAGGATGCAGCTTTCAAACAGCACACCCCCCAGACTTCTGTCATCTTCAAAGGAACCAACCGGACAGGGAGTGTCGTATACCCAATCACCAAAATTCGAGAATCCTGTTTAGAGAGCTACGGCTGCGGTCCTACCAGCGAGGCCACTGTCCTCGATTTAAGCACTACCTCCAGCATGAAGTCCGAGAGCAGCACCCCTTCTTCCTGGGACTCCGATGGAGGAAGTGAAGAGGGTAATGTAGCTCTGGAAGACAGTGATGAAAGCTGTGAAGGACCGAGCCTGATCCCCAGCGAAGATGGCTACCCCATTTGTGCCCTCATGGAAAAGGTCAATCACAGCTTTTCAAGCCTTCCCTCTGGTTTGCCAATAACTTGTCACCTCTGCCAAAAGATTTACAGTAATAAAGGAACCTTCAGGGCCCACTACAAAACTGTGCACCTCCGCCAACTTCACAAGTGTAAAGTACCAGGTTGCAACACCATGTTTTCATCAGTCCGCAGCCGAAATAGGCATAGCCAGAATCCCAACTTGCACAAAAGTCTAACCGCATCTCCAAATAATCTCCAGTAACGAGATGGGAGACTGAGTTTTCTTTTGATAAGCTTTAATTATTTCAGATAATAAAATAGTAAAATGAAATGTCTCTAATTTTCTTTTCCTCCATTTTGGCCAAGCCCACAGGGTTCCTGGCTTTAAACCACTATTTCATTTGACTTTATAAGTTCCTAGAGGCTGGGTAGTGTTTAAAACAAACAAACAAAAAAAAAAGACACAGAAAATAATAATATGCAATCTGGAAGGATGGTGTTGTGGTGGTACAATCTAGTATTACTTCTCTTAAACCTAAAGTATTATTCATTGAGAATATAGGAGACTGCAGATAATCTCACTGGTCCCAGTTTTGTTTACATATTACCTTGGGGAAGCACTGGACCAGTAGACAGATTGGGATCCTGAACTTAAGAGTGGGAGTGAAGAGGGTGAGATTCATAGACTAAGTTAGACTTGCAGTATTAAGGACCATATTTATGTGTCCTGGGGAATAATGGAATCATAGAGCATGAGGACCTGTCCTTAAAGATCCTACTTTGAATTTAACAACTCCTTAATAATTCCAAAAGCCAGAAGGTGGGTTTAGGAAAATGACTTGGAGACTATTAGATGAGACTATCACGTTATTTGGAGTGGATTAGTCTTTTTCTGTTCTCAAGTGGTCTCCCATTTTGCTTTAGAAAACGTTCTCAGAGATTAAAGTGTTGACATATAAAATTCCCTTTTTGGGTTCCTGATTTGTAGCAAAACACGTCCTAGAAGTGGATGGAAAAAAAATTCCTATTTTAAAGTGCACTTTCTGTAAACTACTTTTAGGAAGCAATCATAATTTTTTCCTGCCTGCTTTTTCTCCCCCCCCCCAAAAAAAGCACTCCCAAATTGGTAGTTATTTAAGTTTTAAATTCTACACATGGAGGATATAGACAGCCAAAAGATGTGCTCATGGAGCAGTGGTAGATGTTTACAGTTTGGTTATCCAGGTAGGAAATGGATTAATTTTGCTTAATAATAGTTAAGAAAAACATTGCATTTATTATTTTTGGTTGTGAAACTGAGGTAATTCACCTTATTCTTTCTGGTCACTGTAATCGACAGTATTCTGCATTGTGTTCTGTGCACTTACTGGTGTTGCATTTTATTTAAAAGCGTTTTGATAATATTTAATTTGTGGTTATGTTCTATGAGTATTGTATGTGTATATATGTTGTGCAACAGTGTACTTGACTGAGTCCTTCCTGGAGAGCAGGAAAAATGCTAAAACTAGACTTTGCAAAACCACTGCTTATTTTCACTTTGTAAACTTTTGAATTTGAATTTGTTTTGGTCACCTGTGGTATATAAGCATGATTCTTATAGCACAGTTTGTATATATTTAAGTGTTTTGGAGTATGTGGTTTTGAAGATTTGTTTGGATTTTCACCATAACTATATCTCTTAATCTTGATACATTTTTTGGATGTATTAAGATTAGGTTGAACTTTTTGAATTTAGTTGGTAGAAAGAATAGTGCAAAGTTATTGCCATTCTGTGTGTTTAAATGCTTAACTTATTCTAAGATATATTCAATACCATACACTATCCATTTCATATTCTTAGAAGGGAAGCTAAATCAGACCAATGAAATAAGACCTTGTGAAATTTGGGATTGGCCATACTGTACAGGTCTGGAGAGAAATGAATTTCATATTCAGAGTGTAACTGAACCAATATTTTATGTTTACAGAAGGCTAAAGTAATATTAAACATCCATTAAGAGAATATTTGGTCCAAAGAAGAGTCTTATTACTGTGGCCTTTTGTTGAAAAAGCCAATAACTTGTTACCAACTATTTCAACTTTTTTTTTTAATAAGTGTGATTGCTTAAACTTTAAGGCTCTGTTTACAAGTCAAATGTGATGTATCTTTCAAATATTTGTTATACACAACCATTTTGTTTTTTCACTGTTTTCAGAAAAGGAGCAAAATTTGTATACCCTTTGTATTTTTTATGAGTTAATAAAAATATATGACACATCTTTTGCTTTAAAATGAATACATTTTTAGGATAAAATTAATTTTGCCAGTTTAGTTTTAGAAACTACATTTTTCAGTTAATATTATCCCATTGCATGCCCTGTGGGATTATGATGAATTAGATATCGCCGTAGTTACTGCTACCACAGCAAGAACATAATTATGGAAATTAATGAGTTAGAGTATAAATAATGTAATAATTTTTTCTATTGGTATATTGACTTTTTGGGAAGATTTGGGCTGAAATGATTGAACTGTTACATGCTAATAATGAATACAGAGTAATGGCAATATCATTTTGTTTTATTTCAGATACCAAAAGTATGCTTATTTTTGTGGAGGATTTTTTAGATGATTTTTTTTTTTTTAGAAAACTTATGTACTTGTCGAATTTTGGAAATTCATGAACTTCCTATATTCTTTCACCTTCATCCTTCCAGTTTTTAAATCCATAAACACATCTACTTAAGCCTGTCTGTCCTGGTCCTGTTTCCACCCTGAGAGTAACCAAATGAAAGACTTCAGGATTGTTGGGGTTTAGCCCAGTACCTAAGAGTAAGTATAGTACCAACTACAACAACACAGGACTTTGAAAATTTCTGCTGTTCAAGCGATTAAATGGTGAGATTGTAGTGAACAAGTGTCCAAGTACATCTATATATAACCACAAGACCACAGGTTTGGTGCCATGGGATTCTGGAAGTCACTTAGTTCATCCCCTCATTTGACAGATTAGGAAGCTAAGACCTAGACCCTTAGTTACATGATATTTGCCCAAGGTTGTATAGGTACTAAGTGCGAAAACCAGGATTTAACCCCAGGTCTTCTGATTACAAATGCGCCAGTGCTACTTTCCAGTGCAAGTGAAGATCATAAATGCTTACTAGCTAACAAAAGAAACTCTTGTTTACTTTTCTTTTCATTTGCATTCCTAAACTCTATTGCCCATTTTTCTTAAATGCTATTTCCCTTGATGCTTCTGCCTTCCTGCCCTATTCATTGGCCAACATTTTCTTCCTTTGCAGTGATCTGGATCAGCCCCAAGAGCTGGTTGCATCACAAACCCTTCTTCAAGATTTACCCAAACCACTTAGTATAAATGGAGGAAGAAGCAGAAGGGGTGTGGCAGCTTGTCAAATAGATGCTCTTCCATTTCCTGATTGTATATAGGACTTTGACGCCTTCTTTATTAAAAGAAACTGTTTTTAGAGGCAGCTACATGACTCAGTGGATAGAGCAGCAGCCCTGGAGTCAGGAGGACCTGCGTTCAAATCTGGCCTGAGACACGTGATACTCACTAGCTGTGTGACCCTGGGCAAGTCACTTCACCCCAATTGCCTCACCAGAAAGAAAGAAAGAAAGAAAGAAAGAAAAAAGAAAGAAAACCTTTTTATATTATAATAATGAAAAGAATATCATAAAATCTCAATATTTGAGATTATTTTATTAGTTCTCACTAATTTAATGTTGTATCAACTCTAGGCATAGGATATAAATTGTTTGTAAATTAAAAAGAAAGTTAAGATGCTTGAGGCCCTCCGAAATATATCCCTTCTCGTTCTAGATCTATGTACCTATTATCAAGTAACCAAACATATTAGCGCCTTCTATGTGCAGAGTACCAGGGTAGGCGCTGGATAAGATAAAAAGTTTAGCCAAGACACATCCCCTGTTGTCATGGAACTTACTACTCTAGTAGGTAATATGAACATAGATAATACAAAATAATGCATGATAAATATATTAGGCCAAAATGAAGTATTCTGTAAGATCCAAACAGGAAGAAAGAGTCCAGACCAACTGGGGAAGGAATAGCTCGGGAAAGGTTTTGGAAGAAGTGATTTTTCAGTTGGGCTTTAAAGAATAGACAAATGTGCAACAGATGGTGAGGATGGAATGACTAAAATGTCCAGGCACAGGGAACAGCATTAGCAAAAGCTCAAAGGTAGCAGGCACAGGATGAGTTTGGAAAACATAGTAGTACAATTTAATCAGAACATAGAGTACAAATTAAAGAATTATATTAGTTAAAGCTGGAATTGTAGGGTGGGGCTAGATTGTAATGGGTCTTGCATGTCAAGCAGAGGTATTTGAAATGTACTTCCTGGTCAGTAATGAGCCACTCAAGATTTTTGAACAGGGAAATGAAATGATCAGATTTATGCTTTTAGTAGATGGGGTGGCAGAAGTATAAAGAGGATGGATTTGAGTGGGAAGACCTATTCGGTTATTGTAACAGGCCCAATAGGTGGTAGTAAGGACCTGTACTGGGGTGATGGCAGTGAAAATAGAGAGGTGGTGGGTGTGAACAGTATTTCAGAGGTGAACTCCATCAGGTTTTAGTAACAGATTGTGTTCTAGGAGAAAAAAAAAGATAACACCTAGATTCTGAACATGAGACTGGATTAGAAGATGCTGCGAGGAATAAAGAGCTGGGTTTAAGGGGAAAGATGATAAACTCAGATTTGGACATGGACTTTGAGGTGCCAGTGGGAAATCTGGGTGCAAATATCCTGTGGGCTCTGAGAGATCAGGGTCTGGGAATTAAAGAGCTCAAGAGTAGAAACATAGAGGTAAGAGTTATCTGCCAAGAGGGGATAGTTAACTATATGAGTGAACTGAATAAGATTGTTAAGAAAGAGTAGAGAAGGGAGGAAAAAAATCAAGCATTTAACAAGTGCCTACTATATGCTAAGCAATTATTTCTAGGCGTTAGGAATACAATGACAAAAATAAGATAGTTTGCATTCAAGGAGTGTATATTCTTATTAGGGTAAGGGGGGAAGAACTTTGCAGTATGTCCACTTTGAAGGATCAAGAGATAAAGAAGAGATAAAGTGATTATAAGAGTAGATATAACCCATCTAATGTAACTCTACCATTTTGTTTTTATAGCTAGTCCTCTTGAAGAAGCCTAGAGTTCGTAGAATGTCTGAAAATCTCTAGCCTCAACATTTCCTCTGCCAATCTTATGTTGTAGGTGGGTACACCAATATCTACAGCCTACTTAGAATTAGCCAAGTCTCAAACTTAACTACATGGGATTGTTCCTGCCTGCTAAATAAACGAGTTTATCAAGTTTTGTCTCTCAGTACCCAATTAAAATTGAAAACTGAACTCAAGTAAAAATATGATGGATCCTTGTGCCACACTTCTTCCCGTAATTTTTATTGTCCAACCAATTACGCAACTATTCAATTTTCTATCAATGGACATTTATTAAGTTCTTACTATATGTTAGGCACTGTGTTAAGTGTCAGGGTTAGAAAAACAAAGATCAAAAAAAAAAACCTTCCCTCAAAAGAAATTTACATACTAATAAGGAAATCAGTATGTTAATAAATAGGTACATACAGAGGAGAAGGAAGGTAACCTTAGAGGCAAAGACTCCAGTGGCTGGAGGAATCAGGAAGGTCTTCTGCAGAAGGAAGCTGAGTCCTCAAGGAAGCCAAAGATGTCAAGGTAGAGCCAAGCAAGGAGAATATTCCAGGCATGGGGTGATAGCTGGTTCAAAGGCCCCCTAGGATAGAATGTTGCATGTGAGAAACTTCAAGCAGGCCAATATTACTAAACGGTAGAACGTATAGAGGAAAGTAAGGTGTGAGAAGAGTGGAAGGGTAGAAGGGAATCAGGTTGTGAGGAGCCTTAAATGCTAAATATGGAACTCCATATTCCATCCTGAAGGTAATGAGGAACTACAAGTTGATTGAGCAGGGATAGGGCGGCGGGGGAAGACCTTTCAGAAAATCACTTTGGCATATATGTAAAGGATGGTTTAGAGTGGAGAGAGATTTGAGATTACTTGACTCTTACAATGGTCCGGGTGAGAGGTGATGAGGACATGAACTGAGGCCGTGGCCATGTGAATGAAGCAAGAGAAGTTGACCTATATGAGAGATGATGTCAAGGTGGAAACTATGAGCTGTTAATATTTTAAGAGAGAATGTCAATCTAAACTTTTGGTGTGAACTTTAAGGTTGCTTAAACTTTAAACTAGGTATGACGCAGTTTCTAAAGGGGCCAGTTAACAGGGAGAGCTGACAGAAAAAGGAATGAAGATAAAGAAAAAGGAAGATGCCTTCCTTTTGAACCAGCAGCAAATAGAGGACTGCAAAAACAAGAGCACTCACAATGGCAGTTTGGAGTTGTAAATAGAAGTAATTTTTAAAATTAGAAAAGGTAATCGGGGTGGGAGCCAGAAGACGGGGTTCTAATCCAGGTCAGCTACTTTCTGGCTCTGTGTTGTTGTTGGGTCACTTCAGTCGTGCCCAACTCTTCGTGACCTCATGGGTTTTCTTGGTAAAGATACCAGAGTAGATTGCCATTTCCTTCTCCAGCTTGTTTTACAGATGAGGAAACCGAGGCAAACAGGGTTAAGTGACTTGCCCAATCTCATGAAGCAAGTAGGTATCTGAGGCCAGATTTGAACTCAGGAAGATGAGATGAGTCTTCTCTACTTCAGACCTGGTGTTCTGTCCACTGTGCCACCTAGCTTCCCCTTGGCTCTGTGGACTTGGACAGGCCTCTGTATCTTAACGTGTTAAGTGAGAGTGTGATGTTACATGGTCTCTGAAACACCTTCAGGGTAGAAAATTCTGTTCTAATGAAGAGAATGGAAGACTTTTGACAGATAGGATGATATTCAACAGATTTGTGCTCTGCGTTAAGAAGATGTAATGGATGGTGTAGCTGGGTGTGCTACCTGTTACCTCCTGTGTTATCTTGAGCAGTTCAAGACAACCAGGGAGTGCAGTGGATAGAGTGCTGGGCGGGGAATTAAGAAGGCCTGTCACTAACTGTGATCCTGAGCAAATCGCTTAATCTCTGTTTAACTTCAGTTTCCTCATCTGTAAAATGGGAATAATAATAGCACACAAAGTTGCTGTGAGGATCAAATGAGATAATAATTGTAAAGGCAGTGCCTGGCACATTGTAAGTTCCATGTAAATATTTGCTATTATTTTTGTTTATCCTTTCAG